TTGGCTCAGTGGATAGAACATCAGCCTGAGGACTGAAGGGTCCCAGGTTCGATTCCGGCCAGGGGCACATGCCTGGGTTGCGGGCTCCATCCCCAGTGTGGGGTGTGCAGGAGGCAGCCAATCAATGATTCTCTCTCATCATTGATGTTTCTATCTCTCTCCTTCTCCCTTCCTCTTTGAAATCAATAAAGAAATATATTAAAAAAAAGGCCTCACTTAAAAAAAAATCTAATATTTACATCTTATAAAGTTTACATAGTTTTATATAAACTTTATAATTTCCCTTACTTTTGCCAGCAATATTATTTTCAATAAGTGATAATGATGGGTGTTTGCTTTTAAAATACATTAAAGTTTTAAAAAGAGTACATTAAAGGAAAGTTAAGTAAATTATAATGCAAGGGGCACACAAATGAAGCAAAATTCATTAAGGTAGATTTTGAGGAAAGAATTTGGAAATTCTACACACTGTGGAAACAGAATAATATAAATCCCATTTCTGAGAAGGAAAATAGGAAATCAGAACTGAGTTTCCCTTTGAGAAAAATGTCAGCTTTAATAAAAAGGAACCTAGGAAATAATCATTTGGACTTTTCCTTTACTACAAGACAGGGGAGTAATTCTCTCTGCCTCAGGACACATACTAAACCCTCTATGTTAACAGTGCCACAAGTGGACTAGTTGAGCTAAGGTCTAAGGTGCTGATTCCACCCAGCCGGCATAGCTCAGTGATTTGAGCATCAACCTGTGAACCAGGAGGTCATCGTTCGATTCCCAGTCAGAGCACATGCCTGGGTTGCGGACTCGATACCCAGTGTAGAGTGTGCAGGAGGCAGCTGATCAATGATTCTCTCTTATCATTGATGTTTCTCTCTCTCTCTCTCTCTCCCCTGTTCCCTTTCTCTCTTAAATCAAGAAAAAGATTTGTTTTAAAAGGTGCTGATTCCAACTGCCCTGCTGTTTTTCTTGATGTTTCATTATCCTTGTAACTTCACTGACAATACATTGAGCAGAGCTATGAGCAGAGTTTGTCATTACCTCTTTTAGAATTTCTATGCTAGCCCCTGTTTGGGTAGACCTAAGATTGCAAAACATATTGTAGGCAATTATATTAAGTCATAAAATAGGGCTAGTGAAGGAGCTAGTGAAGGATTTCAGCTATAACAATAATCTTGAAGCACATTATGAACCCCAAGCGGGGGTCTCTTTTGTCTTTTTGATGAAATGCTCAAGAAAGTGCCACAAAAGGTCATTGCTTACGAAACAAGTAGTCCAACAGCAAGATAAAAAAAAAATGCTCTGCCGAAACCGGTTTGGCTCTGTGGATAGAGCGTCGGCCTGCGGACTGAGGGGTCCCGGGTTCGATTCCGGTCAAGGGCATGTGCCTTGGTTGCGGGCACGTCCCCGGTGGGAAGTGTGCAGGAGGTGGCTGGTCGATGTTTCTAACTCTCTAGCTCTCTCCTTTCCTCTCTGTAAAAACTCAATAAAATATATTTTAAAAAAAAAAGAAAAAAAATGCTCTGAGCTTCTGTAGTGACAGCATAATGCTGCAACAAATATTTAGGATGATCTTCCTGGCACTCCCTCCAGCCACTATCAACAGTCACTCTAAAGCAGAGGTTCTTGCCATGTGGTCCCAGGACAGGCAGCAGCAGCAGTATCAGTTGGGAACTTGTCAGGAATACCAATTCTTGCTCCTCACCCCAGCCCTACCTCATCATAAACTCTGAGGGTGGAGCCCAGCAGACTTTTAACAAGCTTTTCAGGGGATTGGGTGTGTTGAAATTTGAGGATCGCTGCTCTAATAAAGCAATGGTTATCACAGTGAGGTCTAAGACTAACATGTGCATTGGAGAAGTAACTTTTCAGTTCTCCAAGTCTCATTTGCCTCATCTGCAGAAAGGATACAGTAATATGCAACCTGCACAGTTTTTGCAAAGACTAAATGAGACAGGAAAGAGCAGCTGGCAGATTTAGAGTAAGTTGAACTTCCCTTTCCTTTCTCTAGAAAAGCAGGGTCCTTTTCTGCTTGGGCCTTTAACATTAGGTCACATCTGTTCTCTTTATCACTACCTGCACTTCCAGTGCACCTTATGGATTTACCTGGGCTGTTCATTCAAAATACAGATGCTGGGGCCCCAGCCCAGATTTAGGGGTGGAGAGAGAGAGCAGGAAATCCACTCCTTTAACAAAATTACCAGGTGATTCCTTGCACACTGAAGACTGGGAACAACTGGTTTAGCTGCTCTGAACTACTGCCCCAAGCCACTTCTTGCCTTTCTCAAAAGCAGTAACCAAAAAAGTGTACTAATTTGGCCCACTCTCCTCCTCCCTTCACTCTGTCCAAGCTACGGTAAGTCCTCACTTATCATCAATAGGTACTGCGACTTTAAGTGAAACGATGTACAATGAAACCGATTTTATCATAGGCTAATAGATATAAACAAGAGTTAGGTTCCTATGGCATCTCATCAATGTTATAACAAAACAACATGGAGCAAAACAACGTTATCTGAAAACCTGCTGTACTCTTAAAGAAGAGGCAGACTGTCACGGTTGAGAGATCAAGCTTGAACACAAAAAGGTTTGAGATCAAACCACAACTTCACTATTTACCAAAGTGTGGTCCCTCAGCATCAGCATCACCTGGGAACTTGTTAGCCAGCCAAGTTCTTAGGCCACACCCCAGTTGGACTGAATCAGAAACGCTGGGGGTAAAGCCCAGACATCTGTGTTTTAACAAACCCTCCAGGTGATGCTGATGCAAAGTCAAGTGTGAGAAGCACTGCCACTTGACTCCCTGAATAACCCTGTGCAGATTCACAGCTTTCTAAAACCATCATTTCCTCATCTGTGAAATACTAAAAGTACTAACCACATAAAGTTGTGACAATGACATGACACAATACAGATAAAGAACTTAATAGTAAACAATAAATATCTATTGTTATTATTATGAAGAAAACTGTCCTTTATCCCAGGGATTCTATTCAACTTGGGATGTTTGTTTCTGAGCCATCATACATGGCTCAAAGCTTAACTGCTAACTAGCCTGATTTCCGCTCCATCCCAACCAAATGGAATGCTATTCATTTACTGCTACATGGCTCTCTACCTTCATATTTTCACTATTCCTGTTCCACTTGCCTAGAATGCCCTTCCATTCTCTGCCCACATTGTCCAAATCTTACTTCTCCCAACAAGATCAGCTGAGGTGAGCTCCCAGGTCTTGCCTGACTGCTCCAGGCCAAATAAATCTGCCTTTCTTTTAAATATATATTTTTATTGATTTCAGAGAGGAAGGGAGAGGGAGATAGAAATATCAATGAGAGAGAATTATTGATGGGCTGCCTCGTGCATGCCCCCTGCTGGGGATTGAGCTCAAAACCTGGGAATCAACCATGACCTCCTGGTTCATAGATTGACACCCAACCACTGAGAAACACTAGCCGGGCTAATCTGCCTTTCTTAACACTGTCCATTTTCATCTGTGTTGCAGGATTTAACCCCTAAGCAATCAATTTTCAATCTTTTTCATCTCATGGCACACATAAACTAATTACTATAATTCTGCAGCACACCAAAAAATGTATTGTTTGCCAATCTGACAAAAAAAATGGGTATAATTTTGATTCATTCATACTAGTTATTGTTGTGTTGCCTGTTGTCATTTTTTAATTTGACAATCTAAGGGAAAAGAGGTCAGTGCCCCTGTCTCAATAGTCAAGTACTACACGTTTTAAAAATTCTTGTGGCACAAGAATGCTGGTTGAATGTGGCCACGACATGCTGGTTGAAAATTCCTGCCCTAAACACATGCATGCATACTACTGGTGGGTTTTATTTCTGGTTGTCTTGTCCCTTTATAATGAAGCTCTTAGGCGCTAGCCAGTTTGGCTCAGTCGATAGAGTGTTGGCCTGCGGACTGAAGGGTCCTGGGTTCAATTCTGGTCAAGGGAACATACCTTGGTTGCAGGCTCCTCCCTGGCCGGGGCCCTGGTTGGGGCTTGTAAGGGAGGCAACCAATCAATATGTTTCTCTCACATAGATGTTTCTCTCTCTTTCCCCTCTCTTCCAATCTCCACCCCCCCAAAAAAAAATCAATGGAAAAATATCCTTGGGTGAGGATTAACACAAATATCTATATATATAAAAGCCTAAGTGACCGTTACGACCGGTCGACTGAACAACTGGTCACTATGACGTGCACTGACCACCAGGGGGCAGACACTCAATGCAGAAGCTGCCCCCTGGTGGTCAGTGCGCTCCCACAGCCAACTTCCCACAGCCCGCCAACCTCCCACGGTCCCTCCCCCCCTGGCTGGGCAGCCTTGATTGGGACTGGGCAAAATGACCCCGATCAGCCCCGATCAGCCAGGCCGAGGGACGGCCCCACACGTGCACGAATTCATGCACCAGGCCTCCAGTATATAATGAAGTTCTTAGGAACTAGAGACAGTACCTTATAGTTCTTTTTCAATCTCTTCCTTATGCAGCTCTGGTATATACTAAAGGAGTGAACAAAGTCCTAGAGCAGTTTAAGGCACAGGCTCTTTCATTTAAGGCACACTTGGAGAAGCTTTTTTAAAATGTGGACTTTAAAGAATGGTAATAATTACAGTAGTTTAGGTTTGTTTAAACTTCATAATTTAAAAAATGCTTTGGTATTTTTAACCGAAACTAGTTGTCACAAAAACCTTGGGAAGTGGGGATCATTGTCCCTATTTACACATGAGGAAACCATTCAGATCATTCTTGTGACTAGCCCAAGGCTGTAGGACTAGTAAATGGTAGAGCTGAGGCTCACACCACATCTCACTGTATTTTTTACCTTGGCTACTTTGGTTTGCCGAGTTTGTTACTGGTGCTGTTATCCCTGTGCTATGCCACAACCTCTAAATTCAACTCTCTGAAAGCGAGTGCTGCTCAAATAATGACGGGCCTTTCTCCTCCTTTGGACGTCAAGACAGGGCCCATTGGGAGAAAAAGTACAGCCTCACCTGGTGTTCCTAGGCGGGCCTGAGCAATGGTCAGTTTTTCATGGGGCGCTTGGCACTGGCAGCTGACTTCGTCTGCAAATGGGGCAGGAGCAGTCAGAGTCTAGAAGGGAAAAAGAGAAAGGGAATAGAGTCTAATAAACTTTCCTTGGGCACTAACTTCCTCTGAAGTTTTATTTATGTTGGCTTCACAGGTATGATCAAGAAGTAGAATATATCAGTGGAGTCTTTCAGAGAAATATGGTACTATTAGAAATAAAAACGGGACATTGTCACTGAAACATTATTATATTTTTTTGACTGCTGCCTCAGAAATAATAACTCTTCACTCTCTGCCATATGCCAGGTACCAGATGAGGTACTCTGCATATGCTAATTCCTCCAGGCCTCACAACAAACAGCCTGTGATGGCTAGATCCCTTCTATCCTTCTACAGCAAAGGAAAACACCATCTCCAGTTCACAGAAAAGGAAACTGAGGCTCAGCAGCATTAAGAAATATGCTAAGTCATGCCCTTGGAAAGTCACGGTGTTCAGCTTTGAACCTTTCACAACCAGCAAGGGCAGGCTTCAAGCATTAAGACTTACCCACACCCTGGGATACTCAGCTGGGAGGAATGCCATACTCAGGAGTGTGGCAGACATCTGTATTTCACACACACCAGCCTGGCCAATCACGAACTCTGACGTCTCTTCAGTGCAAAAGCCAAAGACGTTATCTGTTCCCTGGAAGGGCCTGAAAGCACAGCATTTCTGGCGGGCTGCAGATAAATTGCTCCTGTGGTAGCTCCAACGGCCACCAACGGCTGGAGGCCCCGCCCCAGGCAGCTGGGGCTAAGGCTCTGGGGAGAGCTGTGAGAGAGATGTAGCCACTTGGATGCCTGCCCAGGAAGTGGCTCTGCATTTTTTAGTCAGCTTCTTAAAATGAAAACCTCACTCTCTCCAGACAGGGGAAGACAAAGCCAGGGGTGTTTTTGTAAACAGGGCAAATGCAATCCAGAGTCGTCCATTTGCAGTCTCTGAGCCATGTCCTTATCATGGTCATCACTACACCTGCTTTGCTATTTTTAAAGCCGAAGTCACTGTAAATATTACTCGTGTTGTTGCAGAGATTGTTTCTTAGAGCTAGACCCAGGTGTTCCTCCACCTGATAAGACTCAACTGAATAATGATCCATACATTTGAAGAGGGACTGTGACCCACTTTTGCCATTCATTTATTTATTCACTAGTTCATTCATTTATTCACATGCTCATTCAAATATATGTCAAGCACTATCTTAGAACTGGGGATACAAATAGGGATGAGACCGGTCCCCGTCCTGGGGGAGTCCCGCTTCTCTGTACTGCCAAGAACCCATCCTGCCCTGTTCCCACCCTTCCTCCCCATTGTAGCACCTTCCGCCCTGGAAACTGGAGTCCTGCCCCAGAGTTGCTTGGAGACTTCCCAATTGCCTGAGACACTTAACCCCCACCATCCCGTCCAGGGCTCTGAAAGCAGACCAAGACTTAGGACATGGACTTGGGAAACTTTAGTTCGTTACTAGTTCTTTTTCAGAAACATTAAGGTGACCACGTGGGTCGCGGTGGGCCAGGGCAGCATTTGTAATATGCCAAAGGGGTACAGTGACCAGAGCAGACGCTCCATAGCCACAAATCTGAGGTTGAAATCACCTTTCCAGCACTTACAGGCTGTGTATTCTCATTTGGCTCGCCTGGTTGAAAGAAACCGACACCCACTAAAGTAAGCTCAAGAGATGAGGGATTCTTTGAGGGCTACCCTGGCATGGAGACGGTGCGGGGAGGATAGGGGCAGCACCTGGTCCCAGAGAGCTAGCTGTGCACCTGCCTGGCATGTGATCCTTTCTGTCCCACACCCATTCACCCTACATCCTTCCATGATGTTAAAGTCTCTGCTTGCCTTTGACTCCCCGATAAACTTCGGTTTGAATGGGGCCCATCATGGCCTCCGCTACCTCCCTTCCCAACACTCATGCAGCAGCTTCTGATTGAACCTTTCAGCCCCAGCTCCTGCTCCTACCAACTTACTGCTTCTTTCCATGTTTCCCAATTCACATTCCTAAGGGAGAATCAGACTGGCCAAGTTCATGAATTCAAACCAGACTACAACCAGAATTAGCCTGCAATGAATCAGGTGCCCACCATCTGTGGCTGGTGAGGGGAGGAGGAGGGTGAGGGGGGTCATGGGTTGCCTGTCATTGCCCCTTTAGCAGGCGCTGCTGTTGGGGCCAGAAAGGTATTTGACCTTGTGTGCTCTTAAAAGGGAGTTCGTTTACTTAGTTGAATCTCAGTTTCACCTATAAAATGGACACCAATCTTGCAAGTTGATGCAGAAAACAGAGATAAATTATGTCAAGTACCTGGTACTCAATAAATTGTGGCAATTATTATTACTGCTATTAGTATTCATTCTTATACATAATAATTTATAATACTTTATATTAAGACATAATAATAGATAATGTAGTTCCCTATAAAAAGAAGCAAATTGACTATGAACTTCTAGGACACAGCCCAAATAGGTAAATGGGTTAGCAAGTGGGGTTCTTACATTAATGATTCATTAGCATTTAATATATGTGGACAGTGAACTGTTTTCACATGAACTAAAATAAATTATTATTTTGGGATATTTTATGTGCTAATCTCAAAGCCTATTAAAGAGATAAGGTGTTGTCATTTTCCAAGAAAGGTGTACTCCAGAAGGTGTGAAATGTGGTAATTAAAGCAGAGCCAAAGAAAGTTGTAAAGCCACAATAGTACTCAAAGATGAAGATGAAGTTTATATGCACTGTGCATTCTGTTCTTTTTTTTTTTTTAATATATTTTTTATTGATTAAGATATTACATATGTGTCCTTGTCCCCACGTTACCCTCTACCCCCCTCCCCCCCCACCCCCGCTCATGCCCTCACCCCCCCGTTGTCCATGTCCATTGGTTAGGCCTATATGCTTGCATATAAGTCCTTTGGTTGATCTTTCCCCCTTACCCCCACCCTCCCCTACCTTCCCTCCAAGTCCCGACAGTCCAATCAATGCCTCTCCGTCTCTGGATCAGTCCTTGTTCATCAGCTTATGTTGTTCATTATATTCCACAAATGAAGTGAGATCCTGTGGTATTTATCCGCTCTCAAGTTCCATCCATGCTGTGGCAAATGGTAAGAGTTCCTTTTTCTTCTTCCTCTTCTTAAAGAATACCTTTCAGCATTTCATATAATGCTGGTTTGGTGATGATGAACTCCTTTAGCTTTTTCTTATCCGTGAAGCTCTTTATCTGACCTTCTATTCTGAATGATAGCTTTGCTGGATAAAGTAATCTTGGTTGCAGGTTCTTGCTATTCATCACTTTGAATATTTCTTGCCACTCTCTTCTGGCCTGCATGGTTTCTGTTGAGAAATCAGCTGACAGTCGTATGGGTACTCCCTTGTAGGTAACTGACTGTCTTTCTCTTGCTGCTTTTAAGATTCTCTCTTTATCTTTTGCTCTTGGCATTTTAATTATGATGTGTCTTGGTGTGGTCCTCCTTGGATTCCTTTTGTTTGGGGTTCTCTGTGCTTCCTGGACTTGTAAGTCCATTTCTTTCACCAGGTAGGGGAAGTTTTCTGTCATTATTTCTTCAAAAAGGTTTTCAATATCTTGCCCTCTCTCTCCTTCTGGTACCCCTATAATTCTGATGTTGGTACGCTTGAAGTTGTCCCAGAGGTTCCTTACACTATCTTCATATTTTTGGAATCTCTTTTCTTTTTCGGTTGGGTATTTTTTGTTTCTTTGTATTTCAAATCTTTGACTTGATTCTTGGGATCCTCTTTTCTGCTGCTGGATCTCTGTAAATTATTCTTTATTTCAGTCAGTGTATGCTTAATTTCTAGTTGGTCCTTTTTCATGTCCTCCATGGTCTCCCTATACTTATTGAGGGATTCATTAAATTTATCGGCGGTTTCCATAAAATTCTTGAAAAACCTTATAACCGTGGCCTTAAACTCTATATCCAATCGTTTGCTTTCCTCCATTTCTGCCATTTGTGACCTGTTTCTTTGTCTCCGCATTTTGGCAGCTTCCCTGTGTTGATAGAGTGGCCCTGCGCGCCAGGTGTCCTGTAGGGCCCAGTAGCTCAGCCTCCCCAGTTACCTGGGGTGGACACTCTTGGTGCACTCTTGGTGCCTTGGTTGTTGTAGAATCACTGGGAGGAATTGACCTCCAGGCCAATTGGCTGTGAGAATCAGCTGTGTCTAAAGTGGGAGAACTTCTGTGCTGAAGACACCCTTCTGGGGCAAGACTTGCTTCAGTGGGGCTTTGGTGCTCACTGAGTCTGCTCCCTGAGTGTGTCCCTTATGGATCTGAGGAGTTGCAGTCTGGTACCCTCTGACCACTGGGTACAGTGGCTCCTGGATCTAAGGAGGTGCTAATTCAGCCTCTGCCTGAGGCCACACAGCAGGAGCCACGAAGAGGCTCAGCTGTGAAGCAATGCAAGCCGCTGCGGGGCCTTGGGCCTTCTCTTGGAAGTTCCGGGTCTGCCTGGCTGGGCTGCAGTTAGGTACATTCACATGCAAAAGCCTCTGCGGCAGCCTGGGTGGGGCGGGGTCTCAGGGAGTCAGAGGGCGGAGAAAGCGGCCATGGCCGATTCTCCGCCGGAGTCGCGCGTCTCAGTGTTCCGGTAATGGCTGCAAGCACCTCTGAGGGAAAGCCGCCCTCAAGTTCGCTCGCTGCCGGACAGACCAGCTTCTCCCCGTATGAGACCTAGGTCCCCAGAGACTTCCCGGAACCGGAGTTCAGAGCCGTCGGGAGTTTGTGATTCAAAAAGACAGCCGCGTCCTCAGGCGCCACCCCCTTTCCTCGCGCGCACGCGCGCCGCCGTACCTCTGCACTTCACCTCCGCAGCGCCTCTGGCTCTCAGCGTGCTTTTCTTTCCTTCTAGTTGTGGAATTTACACTCAGCCAGCCTTCCTGTTTTTTTGGATGATGTTTGCTCAGTCCTTTGCGGTAATTTTCAATTGTTGTGTGAGGCGATAATTTCCCGGTGTTTACCTATGCCGCCATCTTAGTTGCTCTCCATTCTGTTCTTAATTATTGTGGCCTCGAAGTAGG